AAATTTTAAGAATTAAAAATTAGTTTTTTTAAGTAAAAATAATTTTTTTTCTTTTTTTTTTTAACATTTTTATCATAGGGTCGGCTCGAACCGTTGCCCTAGGAGAGAGGATATGAACCTTACAAACGTGGCTAGAACCACTTCACTCCAAACGCCAGGTTCAAAAATAATTTTTTTTCTTATCAAAATAGAGAAATGAAAATGAAATTTTAACATTATATGAATTATTAATGATTTAATTTTTTTTATGCTCGTGAGTTACTAGAACTACTCGTGATTTGCTTGAGTTTGAGTCTGACACTTTTGATTTCGATTGACTTAGAGCTCGAGCCCGAGTCTTTGGGTACTCCGATCATTTACAACCTAGTAAGAGAGTTCTTTAATGGTGGTAAAATCTTAAAGGGCTAACTTTTCATGAAAGTTGTAGGGAGACTTACTTGCTCAGATTGACATGGTTCAAGGACTAATGTCATTGCTGTTGTCTTACCTCTAAAGAGAGTGCACTACCTTCCATTTTTAAAATTCAAATTAAAGAAAAATCATAAATAAAGTGAGAAAGAAACAGATAAACCACCGCAAGTCACAGACTCACAGAAACTTTTTAACTACTAAAAGCCCTCGCTTGTTATTGGCAGCTTCTTCACTTCTTCACTTCTTCACTGTTCATCTCTCTCTTTCCAATTCTTCCTCAAACCCTACACATTCCTTCCTCCCTTTTCAATTTCTTAATGTAGGATATAAAACAAACCCAAATCGAAAAATCAAATCTTGTAAACACCCATATTCTCTGGTGGTTGAGTTTCTTGTTCTGGTGGCCAAAATGGGTTCACCAAACGGAGAACCTTGCAGCCAAGGACATGGAGCTTGAGCACGACCCAGATGCTGCATTATGGGAAAGGCTGAGGAAGAGCAGAACCTTAGTGGTAGTACTAGTAGTGAGGGTTCCGAGCAGAATGTGGAGCCGAGATTGAGGTGTGTTGGGTTTCGATGGAGAAGGTTCATTGGTCTCAGATGCTTGCTTGTGTTGCTGTTTTCACTTGGAGTGTTCCTCTCTGCTTTGTTTTGGTTGCCTCCTTTTCTTCGGTTTGCAGATCAAGGGGATCTGGATCTTGATCCTAGATTTAAAGGTCGGTTTTTTTTTTTTTTTTTTGCTTTTAATTTTTGTTGTTGTTTTTGAGCTAAAGGGTTCTTGCGTTTCTGTGATGGGTATGGATCTGGGAAATTTTTTGTATTTTATTTGGTGGGTATTTTTCGATGAACAGTATTTTCTTGTTTGGTTGCTGAGAAAATCTGTGAATGGAAGAAAGTGGGGCAAATTTTTCAGCTGATTTTCTTCATTTCTTGGTGACGATTCATCGTCGTTATCTTTGTTCTGAAAACAAAATTTCCCGAATTTTTTGATTGTCCGCTGCGTTTTAGGAGATTTGTTTGTTGTGAAATGTTGAAAAGCAAGTTGAATATAAATTCTCGGAGGCTCCTTGCTTAATTTAGCTCATATTTACGAAATTATGGTTAAAATTTAATAAAAACTTTGAATTTCCTTTGTTCCACCAACCTTTTTGGGTTATTATCGGAGAAAATTCCAGAAGATCTAATGGGTCTCTTGTGCATTTCTATTTTTGGGAATTGGGCTAGATTCTAAATGCAGTTATTGGCCAGTCTTTTTTGCATTGCTTGTTTCACTTGGTCTGATAATTCTATTCTTGCATATCTGTCGGTATACTACCAATATTATATTTGCAGATGTTTTTCTGGGTAAAATGACTGAGTGAGCCTATATGGTGGGTTTTATCATTAAAATTATTATATTGGAAAGGAGGTGAATTTTTTTTTTTTTTTATCAGTATCACTGTTTTTGAGTTGGATAGAAAATTATGTGGTTTTAGTTTCCAATTTTTTTACTCCATAGTGTTTAGCGTGCTAGCAATCAACCTCTGCCATGGCTTTGTTAGGGCTTTTATGGAATCATCGACATTCCTAAAGCTGAAGTTTTTTATTAGGTCTTGGAAACCAATATATTGGATAATCTATGGAGTGCTAACATATACAATACATGGGACATTACTATTGATTTTGGGCTTTAGGATGAGGTCTTGCTGTCTGTCCTCCATTTCTATTTGTCCCTAAGTCAGTTTATTTATATGTGCTGAAGTTCTTTTTTCCATTTCTATTGCTTTTCTTTCTGCAATGTGCTGATATATAGAGCTCAAGCTCTTGTCTGGCCCCATTTCTTTGTAAAACTGAGTTTTGGTCAATATTCTTATTTACCTTCAGAGATCATTTAGTGCCATGTGCATAATGTCATATGTGTCCTTTTTAGGTAGCTCTTAATTGGATTTGACAAGCAATATACAATTTTGTCTATGGAACAAGGCAACTTTTGTTTGACAATTGTAATTTGACTAAGCAATGCATGGTAGGGTGTGTTTGTATCGGTTTAAGATTCTAGTTTAAATTCAACTTACAAGATACCCCTACTTCTTTTTGTTGATTAGAAGATCTTTTGCAGTGCATTGCCTTCATCATAGAACTTGTATTTTGTAATCTGTGAATCCTCATTGTATACCTGCTGTACATTTTGATTTTGGATTCTGGATGGACAATTTTATTTCTCTGGGGCTTGGGGTGAAATCAATTAGTAGTGATCTTTCCAACTCGGTTTTGCTGGACTCCTTTTATACTGATGATGTTTCTTTATACAGGTCATGATATAGTAGCGAGTTTTAATCTTCACCAGCCAATTTCTTTGCTGGAGGACAATATCTTGCAGCTTGGGAATGATATTCTGGATGAGATAGATTCTCCTTCAATCAAAGTAAGTCTACCAGTTCATTGCTCGCATGATTGCATCTGCTTGCAGACAATTTCTGCCTTGATCTAATTAGCTTCTTTGAACCAGATTGTTATCTTAGATCTTGAACCTTTGGCTGGATCAAACATTACAAAGGTTGTGTTTGCTGTTGATCCTGAAGTGAATTACTCAAAGATATCTCCAACAGCTGAAAGTTTGGTCAGAGCATCATTTGAATATTTGGTTACACACCAATCATCTCTACGTCTAACAAAATCCTTGTTCGGAGACCCATCCTTTTTTGAGGTGCTAAGGTTCCCAGGAGGCATTACTGTGATTCCTCTACAGAATGTTTTTCTCCTGCAGAAAGTGCAATTCCTTTTCAACTTCACCTTGAATTTTCCTATTTATCAAATACAAGTAAGATTTAATGAACTCGCTCATCAGCTGAAGTTGGGATTACAACTAGCACCCTATGAGGTTTGGTCATAGTACTCTCTCGTTTGAATTTAAATACCTATAACATTGCAGAGATGTGCTTATTCTATACATTAAGAACTTTTACAGCTATAGATTTCATCATGCAGAATCTGATGGGTTTTTCTTTTATGGAATGCAGAACTTGTATGTAAGCTTATCAAATTCCAAAGGTTCAACGGTGGATCCTCCCACCATTGTCCAGTCATCTGTCCTCCTGGCAATTGGTAAAACTCCTTCAATGCCTAGGTTAAAGCAGCTGGCTCAAACAATCAAGCGATCCCATTCAAGAAACCTTGGCCTAAATAACACTGTATTTGGTAGGGTTAAACAAGTTCATCTGTCATCCATCTTGCAACACTCCCTCAATGGTGGTGATGGTACCTCATGGTCCCCTTCTCCTGCACCCTTACCCCATTCCCACCAGAGTCAGCACCACCACCATCACCACCGCCACCATGTTGCTAATCTTCCTCCTGCTGTTTCACCTGCTCCATCTCCTGAGAATGGTGCAAGATGGGCTCATGAGGCTGCACCTGCATCTCATAATAATTCACCCACTCCTAGAAAAAGCTCACCAGCACCTCAGAAGAGTCACAGGGCAGAGGCCCCAGGTTGCCAATTCAGGAATAGTACAAGGTTCAAGGGGAAGACTAGAGAGGCTTCTCATTCATCTCCTACTGTTGCACCTCGTATTTCCCCTCACCATTCTGCTTCCTTACCAAAACACAAACACCAACAAGTACCAGCACCATCACCCAGACCCAGACTCATCTCCCATCCAGATCCTGCATCTAGTCCTCTGCCACATGTGGTGTTTGCACATGTTCAGCCCCCATCAAAGGGTGAATCAGTTTCACCATCATCATCTGCATCTTCAAGTGAGTAAATTTAGTAATTACAGCTTAAAAGAATTAAGTTATTCATATAATTGGATCAATGCTTGACATTTTTCTTGCTCTAATAGCCATTGCTTATATACTCTACATGGCTTCCACAGGTCTTCAAGACTTTCAATGGACATGGTCACTCTTATTAGCTATTATATTAAACTTATAACAACAAAATCAGAGCAACATGTTGTGTAGTTATAATTACTTCTCTAGTGTTTGAGGGACTGCAATTGTATACTCGAACCAAATGCATCGGATAGACTAGAGAAGTTTGTAAAATGAGAGCAACGCGAAGGGCATGCCTCGCATTCTGAGTGGATATATATTGTTTTCCTGTGATGTGTAAATATTTGATCAAAAAAATGCAGCTGGCTGAAGCATTTTCAGGTCAAAGTCACATTATTGGTGGCAGGCCCTTGATCATGCGAACTGCCGCTGTTTTGTGTATTTTGTTATGCAGAAAATGTAAGGGGAAATGAAGTAATGAACAACAAAATGTATGAAATTACCCTTTTTTTTGTGTCTCTCATCCCTTGGTGTTCTTGATGTATCTGCATCATCACACTAATTTCATGTTAATAGCAGTTTAATTAGGTTCATATTCATTAAGTACAAAATCTTCATTCTATATGAAGGATTCCACCCTTTGCAACCTCTAGGAATAAAAAGAAAAAAAAAGTGTCACGTAGTTTGGTTTGTATTAAATTGCATAACACGAATCAATAAATAGAGAATAAACTCTTAATACCATGGTAAGATTATAGATTTCAATTCACAAGAATAGAAAAGAACGAAGGAAGTGTTAAGCACAGTATAAACCACTAGATAAGTCAAGTTTGAAAATGTAGGATTGGACCCTTCCAACTGAATGGTCACGTAGAAAGAAAGATCTTTTCACAAAAAAACAAATTTTGGTAATTTGGCGTGGATTGATGCTTGGCAATTGCCAAACACCAAGGTGGAATCACATTGGGGTTTCATCTGAAGTGGGCAAAACATGCTGGTTAACCCCTTAGCTTTTCATGCGGTGGAATCTCAACTGCTCAACTGAAATCACACACAAACTAACCCTCAAGCTTATTGTCGGTGTCAAAAAAGCCCTTTCATTAACGGGCATGATATCTTTCCATTAATTTTTGCTTACATGACAATTTTTTACTACTTTGACTCTTTTTTTTTTTTTTGGCCAAAATTTGACTCTATATGCTTAGGTGGATTTTTCTAGACCCACATGTAGGTCCTATTTAGCATTTTAATTAAGGGAAATGCTTTTTGTATAATTTTTTTATTTCATATTTTTATACAACTTAATGTATCATTAAAATGATTGGCCCCTTTAATTTATATGAGATCGTGATATTGAATACATCTATTCATTTAATGACATATGAAAGTTGTATAAAAAAATGAGACAAAAAAGTTATCCCTATAACATTACCCTTTAATTATTAAAAGAGTATGAATTTGTTTATATATAAAATTTATGTGTAAATTAATTTCTATTCTTATTAAAATAAGTTTTGCCTTTAATTAATCATTACCCTAATTTTTTTAATAAAATGACATGGCATGGCATCCACCTAAGTAATTTTGAGTTCCAGGTCACAAGCAGGCCCCTCATAATGAGCCCAACGTTAATTTCAAGTGGAATGATGACATGATCCATAACAGAAGGGCCTTTTTGCCATCAAATACAAGTTTGAGGGTTTAATTTGCTCGTGATTTCAATTGAGGAGGTAATCTGCATGTTTTTGCCAAAAGTGTAAACGTTTCCTTGACACATATAAGAGAGTATGAAATCAGCAATTTTTCCACGTGAAATCTCGACAAATCAGGATTTTTCAAAGCGTCTCCTACCATTTTTTCCCAGTTATTAGAAACAAAAACGGAAACTGAGGTACTTCTTTCATTTTTAAATTTATTTCTATTATTATTATTATTATCTCTATTCAGCAAAATAAATAATAAAAAGGTGTTTGTTTATATCGACAAGCACAAGTAAAATTTTCGTGTTAAATTAAAATATTTAATTAATTAAGATTAATGTTTATCAATTAGATTTATAAAAAATTAAGTAATTTTAAGATATTTTAAAAATAATTAAGATATTTTAATCTTTTTAATAAGATTTTATTAAAATAATGTAATTTTAAAATATTTTTCTACCTAATTTTTAACAATACAGGTTGATATCTACTTTTTTGTAATTAATTGCATAAATAATACTGTATATTTTGTTAGATCAATAGGAAATTCTGCAACCTCAATAAATAAACATAAACACAAAAATGAAAAAAGAAACATAAATAAACCATACTTATAAAATTATAGTATATACTCATTATAATGTGTATTAAACAAGTTAATATATATCAAATTTTGTATAAAATATTATATTATATTATATAAGTCATGGTCTATATATATATAGCATTGCATCTCTACTATTTTTTACACAAAAATATGATTTTTTTTGAACAATTTTGACATTATTTACAGGTATATATGGGAAGGAAGGAAATGAGTTCCGTAAAACTCAAACACGTCACCCATATAAAAAATGGATAACCTTAACCCAAAACCCAATGCCACTGACTTGAATGAATATTCACACAAAAATACGATTTAAATTTTCACTTGCCTTAAAATTTAAACAATTTGTCAATTTGAAAAAGTAGGCATGAATGGAACTTATGCCGAAAAAAGGTGTTATTATTATTTTTTTTTTTGGTGCAAAAGGAAAATATCATAAATGCAAATTAGTTAGTGCGATACACACAATTTCTAGTCAAATCCAGACAATAAGTCACATATCAAATTTGAGGAACAAAATCAAAAATAGAAAGGGGGTCCTCCACTGAAGCACTAAACCTAGCCAACACATCTGCAACCTGGTTGCTTTCTCTGTAAACATGAGTTGTCTGCACTTCTTCAAATAGATTGAGAAAAGATATGTAAGAATCAAATAAGTGGAGATGAACCTTGCAAGAATGTTAATCTTTCAAACTATTCACAGCAAATAGGGAGTCAGATAATCAGATTCAAGAATAATCCTCTTAAATCGTATTTCCAAAGCTAGTTCAAGGCCCTGTTTAATTCCCCCAGAACTCTAAATTTGTATCGGTACCCATGCCCAACTTAAGAGCATATCCCACAATCCAAGTGGTGTGATTGACTATATGCCAATATACAAGTGGTCTATGGAAAGAAATCTTGATAGCTGTATTTTGTTTATATTATATACATTATACAGTGTTGAGAAATGTTTCTTTCATTTTGAATGGACCAAAAAAAGAAAAAAATCAAATAAAAACTAACTGTAACCTATTTAGCTATGAGATCTTAGACCTCACGTTAACCGGTTAGAAACATTAAGAATTGAGACCTCATACTTTTTAATATGTGTGTCCTAATCCCACATATCTTACCTCCAAATGGTAAGTACATAGGAGGAGTGGGACAATGAGAAGAGGTTGCTTTTAACGTTGTTAATGAGTTGACCACTTAAATATTTGTATTTAAACTTCCTTTAAAACTTTGAGTTTGTGTATTTGTTGAATATAAAATAATTGAATTTGGGTTGAAGTTTACAAATATTTAAGTGAATTTAAATTTACTCGTGCCTTTTAATTTGAATTTAAGTTTTTCTCTTATAATTTTAAAATATTTTAATAACTAATTATTTAATAATATATTTTTCTATATATTTCAAAAATATTATAGTAGCAAAAGCCTAAACATATTAAGTACAATTACAAAAAGACAACCATAAATTTCATTTAAACATTTTTATTAATAGTTATTATTTAAAATATGTAATTTATTTAAATTAACATTTTAATCCTATAAAATTCTACAAGTTATTATACATTTAAATTGAATAAATAAATATATAATATAATTTTTAATTATAAATTAACTATTTGTAAATAACTTATGAGTAATTGTGAAAACTTAAGTTTAAGCTTTTTTTTTTTTTGTTTTTATAGAACTCAATATTAAACTAGATTTTAATTTAATTATCAAATAAGTCAAGTTTAAGTGAAAATTAACTTGAGTAGTGTAAGAGTCACCTACAAATTACTCTATTCATAAATAGCTTTAGTTGCCTCCTACAATAGAATAAATAAATAATGATAAAATTAAAATTAATTTTTTTTGTCTCCCTTAAGGACAAAAATATAAAAAAAATAAAAATTAATTTAAGAGTAACTTAAGGCAAAACATTTATTTTTAAAAGGTGGAGGGAGTAATTATAAGATACATAAAAATTCTAACTATCATTATTTAACATTAATAATATCCTGATTGTCCGTGCCTCTCTGAGATTCAGCCGACCGTGACAATGTCACTCTCCTCCCGTGACAGTGCTCCGAAGTCCGAAGTCCGAAGTCCAAACAAAACAAAAACACAAAATATCTTCCATTTCGACCCCCGACTTTTTTCTTTCTAAGCAAATATCTGCAATGTCGTCTCATATCGAACTCATTTCTCTTCTCAAATATCAACCCCTCTTTGATTTTTATAGTCTCAGATTCCCTCGTTTTCTTCTTCACTCCTTTTCTCTTTTATTAGGAGCTCACCATTCCTCTCATCATACGTTCAATCTTGTATCTTTTGATTTAAGGTGAGTAGTAGTTCGCATCTTGATCAAGTTTTATTGAAGTGCCTATTGGTTTTTGGTAAGTTCGCATCTTGATCAAGTTTTATTGAATTGCCTATTGGTTTTTGGTAAGTTTTCATCTGGGTCATTGTTGTTTTCGGTAAAGAAACTAAATTTTGGCTCAATTTGCATCTGGGTCAATTTTCTTTCTCCTTTGGAGGTTATCACAATTATGTATGAATCTATGTTTTCTTCTTTAGGTGTTGTTTTGAACTTCACCCTGTTGGAATTGTTATGTTTTGATTTAAGTTAGTAGTCTTTTGCATTTTAGTTGCTAACTTTGTGCCAAAGATTTTCTCTTGCGATCTTAAAAGAAGCCTGGATTGCAACGGGCTATTGTAGCTGTTATGCTAACAAGTTTACGCTTTTGTTTTGGTAGATTTTGAAAATTAGCATTGGATCCAATATTAAGAAATGGCGAATCTTGGGTTGCTTTCTGTGGCTAAGTCTGTAAAATCAGTTAAATTGAGCTTTAGAATACCTTATTATACTCACTGGGGTCAGAGCTTGCTTATATGTGGATCTGAATCCGTGCTTGGTTCATGGAATGTTAAGAAGGGCTTGTTACTGAGCCCTGTTCATCAAGGTGATGAGCTCGTATGGTGCGGAAGTATTGGTGTACCAAGTGGATTCAGTTGCGAGTACAGCTATTATGTGGTGGATGATGAGAAGAATGTACTGAGATGGGAGATGGGAAAAAAACGTAATTTGTTGTTGCCTGAGAGCATTAAGGATGGACAGGTTGTGGAGCTGCATGATCTTTGGCAGGTCTTACTACATTCTCCTTTGCTCAATGGTCTTTGGATTAAACTTTTAACGACCCCTTTATTTCCATCATTGTGGAGTGATGTGAAGACAACATTCACTCGTGACTGCATGAGTTTTTGAAGCTTATTATTTTTGACTTTCTGTGGGCATTTAATTTTGCATACTAGGTAAATATACGGAAACTATTTATTCTCATTATCTCATTCTATCAATGAACAATTAGTGTTATTGATGAATTTATGAATGAATTCTGTCATTACATTATGAGTGGAATAAAATACTATGCACCAACCATTTTAGTGTCTTGAACCTTAAATCTTATTCTGTGTCAAAAAAATGATAAATTGGTCGGGACAGGTCACTCAGACTTTGATCCATCAGACTTCTTTTACATGTGAAGGGTGGTTATCTCATCTGCATACCAGAACTATTTCTTCTTTAAATTTTGATGGTTAGTTGTCCTAGTGAGTGATAAAGCATGGTGGTTTCTTTCCATTAACAACTTCATCTAAAAGTCTTGCTGTCAACAAATCCAGACTGGTGGTGATGCCATTCCTTTCAGAAGTGCCTTTAAAGATGTCATCTTTCACAAGAATAGGACTCTGAACATAGAGAGGCCTCTGGGAATCATTCATGAGAAGCTGGACCGTGAAGGTAACACCGTATCAATAAGACTTTACAGTATCAAATTTTGAGTTTTATACTTCGTTTGGAAAATTTGGGTTAGCTAATTAATTTTTTTCCATAACTTCTGACATGTAACAGATTCAGTTGTTGTTCATTTCAAAATTTCTTGTCCAAATGTAGAAGATGGCACATCAGTGAGTCTCATATTTTTATTATGTGGCATAATTTTTACTTCAACTACTTTTGATTTTAATAACTGTCTAGCTATTATTGCTACTTCCTTTTATTCATGAGGTTTGACTTGTGTAGGTGTATGTGATTGGTAACAACGCAAAGTTGGGGCAGTGGAAAGCTCAAGATGGTCTTAAACTTAGCTATGCTGGTGGATCAATCTGGGAAGCAGACTGTGTGATTCAAGGGGATAATTTCCCAATAAAATATCCTTTTTGAATGTCTTTTTGAACCTTTAATTCAAAATTGTACTTGTTCTTCTGTTCTGTGTTTTGTGCATTCTTTTGCCAACTTTTAAACTCTCCTTCCTTAACAACTGTTGCACATATAGGTATTGCAAATATGGCAAGACAGGTACCTTTTCTTTGGAAACCGGTAGCAATCGAGAGATCTCTGTTGATTTTTCCAAAAGTCAACCACAATACATTTTCCTTTCGGATGGCATGTTGAGGGTAAGTTATTTGGGATGTCTTAAAAATTAATTAAGTAAATACTTTGTTGCAGCTTTGGAACTGGTGATAATTATCTAATTTGTCAATCATTTTGGTAGGAGACGCCATGGCGTGGTGCTGGTGTAGCAATTCCCTTGTTTTCTGTTAGGTCAGAAGCTGACCTTGGTGTTGGGGAGTTTCTTGACCTGAAGTTACTTGTTGACTGGGCTGCAGAGTCTGGATGCCATTTAGTTCAGCTTCTGCCGATCAATGATACATCTGTGCATGGAATGTGGTGGGATTCATATCCTTACAGGTAATCCTCCAAATTCAACATTATATAGCATGCCTCAAAATTATTTATTTTGGTATATCCATGAAAGAGAAACGTAATACTTGTTAGTCTGACTGCCACATCTTTGATACAAATACCTCCTCTGTCTGGTAGCAGTAATTGGATTGTTTGCAATTGGACTTAGGCAATCGCATTTCCTTTCTGCTTTTAGTTTCTGATTTTAGTTTGTAACCCTGGTGAAATTCTGTTAATTTATTGTCTGATGTCATGAGTTGCTTCTCATGTTAATAATGCTGTTCTCGTTATTTGTTACTTATCTCTGGTCACTGACTGCAACTTACATAAAAGCAAAATTTTTCTATGATGACAACTTGAATTTTGTATTTTCTCATTCCTTGGCAGCTCACTTTCCGTGTTTGCATTACATCCACTATACCTAAGAGTACAGGCACTCTCAGATAGCATGCCAGAAGATATTAAGGTAGCATTGAGGGCCTCAGGCCTCCACCTTTGATTTTCACATAACATTCAGTCATAATTGTTTGGTAACTGATCTGTGATCTTGCTTCTTTTTTGCAACCACCTTTTCAATTCTGTTCCTTCTAGAAAGATATTGAAGATGCCAGGAAAAAATTGGATGGGAAGGTAATATTTTGTACATTTTCTTTAACTTCTTTAAGCTAGTGTAATGAGATAGGGTAGCTAATGGAATTTCTGGGAGCAGAGGAGGGTATCTTCTTTAATTTGGAAAAGTGATATCAGAACTTCTTTATGTGATATCTTTCTTTGAAGTTTTACTCAGCTCTGGACACTCTTAAATGCATATTTGATTCCAGTTAATCTTATATGATATTTCATTTCGTTTACTAATGAAGAAGACAATGCCTGAAGGAACTAATTGTCCTTGTTTTATGATACTGAGTTTTTCTTTCCTGCATCTCTTTTATCTATCACTCATGTTGATGATATAAAAGTACTGACAATATACTTTGTGTGTATGCAGGACGTTGATTATGAGGCTACTTTGGCTACTAAGCTTTCAATTGCGAAGAGAGTTTTCAGCCGAGAGAAAGATTTTATACTTAATTCAAGTTCTTTTCAGAAATTTTTTTCTGAGAATCAGGTATTACAGAAGTTTGATTCCCTTATTTTAACTGTGCATGATGGTTGGAAATGTCGATGCATGTATTTAGTTTGAGTTAGTTAATTTAAACATTATATTCTTTCAAAAGTTAGTGCTTTTCTTTTTTTCTTTTTGGTTTTTTATAGGGAATTTTATTACTATTCTGACTTCAATTATTAATTGAAAAAGGATTGGTTAAAACCCTATGCTGCCTTTTGCTTTTTGCGGGACTTCTTTGAAACATCAGATCACAGCCAATGGGGTCGTTTCTCTAACTATTCAGAAGACAAGGTAATCATTCTTCTACCTGTTAAATTCAATAAGGAGATCAAATGATTTCAGTAAACAGTTGGGTTCCTTTGATTATCATCTTCCCAATAAAAAAGGAAGATATGTTATTTTGCAATTGTTACTGCCGTAACTTTTCTTAGGTTTAGTTGTCTACATAAGGTTCTTTCACATCAAATGTATGATAACGATGCATGTCCATTTTTTACTTTCTGTTACAGCTTGAAAAACTTGTCTCAAAAGACAGTTTGCACTATGGTGTGATCCAGTTTCATTACTATATCCAGTATCATTTGCATTTACAAGTAAGCAAATTAATCTATGTCCAATACGTCATGCATCTCCACTTTTTCCCTTTTTTGTGCATCATAATATATATTTTTCTGACCATTAATGAAATTGGTCTCCTGGTGTTGGTTATTTGTCAATGTGATTGAAAGTTGTCAGAGGCTGCAGAATATGCAAGAAATAAAGGTGTAGTTTTGAAGGGAGATTTACCCATTGGTGTTGACCGAAACAGTGTTGATACCTGGGTCTATCGGAATCTGTTTCGCATGAACACCTCTACTGGGGCCCCTCCTGATTATTTTGCTAAAAATGGCCAGAATTGGGGATTTCCTACTTATAACTGGGAGGAAATGTCAAAAGACAACTATGCTTGGTGGCGTGCCCGTTTAACACAGGTGATCATTTCAATCTTCTTCCTCTGTTTTTCCTTTGTTCTTTTGTGTCCATGTGGGAGGAGGGGGTGGGAGGTGGATCTAAGAGCTTGTTCATTATGTCGCAGCATGCTTTTGATGTTCCAGTTTCCACATTTATCAGTTGCTGAATTCCCCTTTTATATATATATATATAAATTTAATTTAATTTTCATTTTTATCATCCACTGCAGATGGGAAAGTATTTCTCAGCCTACAGAATCGATCATATATTGGGTTTCTTTAGAATCTGGGAACTCCCGGACCATGCTATGACTGGCCTAATTGGAAAATTCCGACCATCAATACCTTTAAGTCAGGTAGAGCAGTTGATGTTCCTGTAAGATACATATGGCTAAATGAGTATGATAAAATTGAGAAAGCTATTTTATCTCATGTAATGTATGCATTATATGTGAATTATGCTTTGGTTGCAGGAAGAACTTGAAAAGGATGGAATATGGGACTTCAATCGATTGACCCGCCCATATATTCGAAAAGAATTTTTACAGGTGACCGAAAGTTTCTAATGGATTCCCATTTGGTTTCTCTCAATGAACATTGAGTTGTTGCATTTGTGTGTATGAATGATCAGTCTTTAGACTTTCAATTTCCTTAAAGTATTCACCCTATTTTCACTACTTGTTTCAGGAAAAATTTGGAGCTACTTGGACATTTGTTGCTGCAAATTTTTTGAATGAGTATCAGAAGGACTGTTATGAGGTGACAATCTTTGTCCACTATTTGCAATTTGTTTATTGCTTCCTTCCTTTTACTTATAACCCACTCGTGATTGGGAATTTCCTGCTAATCTTATACTTTTTAGTCATGTTGATTCACATAATTGAAAAAACTCTTAACACTGTTAGATTTCTGTCTAAATATATGTGATTATACAAGGTATCATTTCCCACATGTAAATTACAGAACTTCCTGCATGTGGTCTACTTTAACCTGGTCTTTTCATCTTGCCTTTAATAAAGGGTAAGCCCAGCCCCCTATGAAAGTAAAGTTGCCAACCTTCCATTGAAAACATCCTGAGTCAAAAGATTTTTGTGGTGGAAAGCCTTTCTATTGCCAAGGAAAAAGAAGCTCAGAAAACAAACCCATTAAATCACGGAACTTACTAATTATCAAGTTTTATATTTTATTATGGAAAAAATTTATTAAAGTTCAATTAAGAGTTTGGTAGCTAATGTAATTATTCTCTTTGCTGATCTGATCTCCTGTCTCCATTTTCACTCATCTCTTTCTCACTTGTGTACAAATTAATCATGGACAATAAGATTACAATATATCAACCATGGGACTGAAAGCCCCATACGCACTTTGCCAAATAGCAGAAACACCTTGACATTCTATCTTGAATGGCATAGGGATGAAGGAAAAAACACATCGGTCTGTTAAGGATAAACCCGTGGAGTTGATAGCTTACTCCACTTGGTTCTTTGGAAGCTGTGGCTGCAGTGTCTACAAAATTAAAAATAAAATAACGATGATGATGATGATGATAAATCATCCCTTCTCAATTCTCATAGTGCATGTTGTACTTCCTTTCATATCAGTGAAAAAAATCATGAATGCTTATCCTCTCAGAAATTTTGTCTCATATGTTTGTTAATTTAGTATTTTTCTGCAAAAGTCAGGTCTATGAGCTTGGCTCTGAATCATTTTCTTTTATTTACTTGATGAATCTCTAGTTCATGGAGGACTGCAGTACAGAGAAAAAAATTGCTGCCAAGCTGAAGTCATGTGCTGAAGGGTCCTTGTTGCTGGAGAATGTTGACAAGATACGTAATGATCTATTTGATCTTCTAAAGGTAACAATTGTGGCACAGAAATTTTGAAGTTTAGATTCCATGAATTAACTATTCTTTTAATTGTTAGTTCTCTGGTCTGAAAGCTGAATATTCTTGGTGTCAATCCTTCACTTTATTATCGTTCAACTGTCTGCAGAACATAGTTCTTATCAGAGATCCAGAGGATGCAAGGAAATTCTATCCTCGTTTCAATCTTGAAGATACTTCAAGTTTTAAGGATTTGGATGATCACAGGTATTGAGTGCACCAGATATTCATTTAATATCAATGAAAGTACCGTTTTTTTTTTTCTCCTTTTTATTAATCAAGTGCTGTATCTAACTGGTTCACCTCATACAGCAAAAATGTTATGAAAAGATTGTACTACGATTACTATTTCCACCGGCAGGACAATTTATGGCGACAAAATGCTTTGAAGACCCTACCTGTCCTCCTGAACTCATCAAGTATGCTAGCTTGTGGGGAGGATCTGGGCCTTATTCCTGCATGTGTTCATCCCGTATGTTCAACATTGATCCTTTCTATTTCTCAACCTGATTATTTCTTCCTCTCTTCTTTTCTCCCTTTTTGGATAAATATTTCTAAATAAGCATACATTCCACTAATGTACTTGTTTCTGAATTTTTGATACAGGTTTTGCAAGAACTAGGGCTAATAGGCCTGCGCATTCAACGTATGCCCAGTGAACCAGATCTGGAGTTTGGTATTCCTTCTCAATATGGTTACATGACGGTAAGAATTTTTGTGGCATTGCTTCCCCAATACCTATTTGAGTTAAAGATCTGAAGATTCAGTTGTGTGCTCTATTCTTTAGTGCATGTGGGTTCCTCAAATGAAAATACAGGTTATTTATTTCTGAAAATGATCCCCCTTATGCAGTGACAATAGACTTACCAATGATATGAAAAGAAAAAGAAAAAGGCAGTTGTGTGGATAGTTGCTATTGCAGTTATCCAGTACTCCTGGTTTTTCCCTATAATATGTTGGTAGTCATGGACGTTTTCCTTCTCGTAGTTGAAGTAACATCAACTTTTGAGGGTCCAATTAATTTTAACTAAATTGAGTAGGCTTACTGTATTTCAGGTGTGTGCTCCATCATGTCATGACTGCTCCACCCTCCGTGCATGGTGGGAAGAGGATGAAGAAAGAAGGCGTAGATTTTTCAGAAGTGTGGTGGGGTCTGATGCATTACCACCTAGTCAATGTTTACCTGATATCGTGCATTTTGTCATAAGACAGCATGTAGAAGCCCCATCAATGTGGGCAATTTTCCCTCTTCAGGTTGGTGACAAAAAGTTTGGTAGCTTGAATGTCTCCAATATCTAATATCAAAATTCCTTGTGAAAGTGACACAAATATCTGTTAGTCTATAATGCATTTAGCAATCAGGAACATTTTTTTCTTATACTGGTTTCAGAATATCTGATACCTCTAAACTGTGGGCTTGATGTTCAGGATCTCTTGGCACTGAAAGAAGAGTACACGACACGCCCTTCAACAGAGGAGACAATCAACGATCCTACAAATCCAAAGCACTATTGGAGATACCGTATGTGTTATTTATTGATTATTAAGTCGGTCCTGTATGGTTTTACAGTGCCATCTCTCAAGCTGCTTTGGTATCACAAATTTACTATCTTGTCATCAACCCTGCTTCCTGATTCAGGTGTGCATGTTACACTGGAGTCCTTGATGAAAGATAAAGATCTAATGACAACAATTAGAAATCTCATCAGTGGAAGTGGAAGATCATGTCCTTCACTCGGAGAAGCTGCTGAGAAGCCGCAGATTGCAAGTAGCCAGGCAAAGATCCCAACAGCAACTCAACAAAATGGAGCTCCACAGAAACAGGCCATTGCTTCCTGTAACTAGGCTTAGTGAAGCTGCTGTCACTGGAACCGCTCCCAGAAGACATAGATATCAGTAACAAAATAAGAAACAGGCAGAGTTGTATGTCAATGAAACGCAGCTACCGTTTAATAAACTGACATCTCTCAGCGCTGTTCCTTCCAGGTATAACATTCATGGCTGTGATAAAATATAGGAGAATAATTGATACACTGAGCATGTTGAAATGTCAGATATATTATTAATAATGCAGAACCTTGTTGGATGAGCCTGCTTGAATTAATATTAATAAGGATTTATTATGTTTTATTGTTCGAGAGTAGCTTCTATAATATTTGTTGAGTTTAGTGATTGTATTAATAAT